TTCACATTAGAGTTGTTGCAGATCTCTGAAACTACGATTTATGTGCATCACTAGTTTGACATACTTCTTAGACCTGCTGCTAGATCTTGTTAATGTGATAACAAAGAAGCACACTTTTACTCTATCAAAAATCTAGGTTTTTTATTTTGATAATTATATTTAAATACTTTCATTTCCTTTGTATTCCTATATATTTTATTTTATGAATTTAAAAACAGTATTCTGAGTAGGAGCCCATGGGCTTCGTCAAACTGCTAAGGGGATGCATAGTAGAAAAAAAAGTTAAAAATCTCTGCTTAATAGAAATATATGTTGTCCTAACTCTTCCCAAAGGGATGCTTGACTTTGGGTGTTGAGTCATCTCTCTGGTCCCAGTCCATCACTTCCACCTCTTGGTGCCCCCAAAGGCTGGGGGTGGCGGCTCCGGGACACCTGTCCCCAAAGCAAACAACTGTTATCAACTGCATGCAGGGCATTAGATAAGCCAATGTCCCAGGGGTACAGAACCAATCAGTTGCAGCCCTACTTCAACCAGTGAAGCTGAAAGCTGGACATACCCTCACACTCTTTTGAGACGGCTGCAGGCCATCTCGACCTACTGAGATGATACCCATCATCCTAGCCACAGCCAGCTGGACAAGGGATCTTGAAGCCGGGTATCTGAGGGGTACTGTAGATATTAAACCAATTTGCTATTTTTCCTGTTTAACTTGAGGGGTGACTCAAGGGTCTCCAAGATTTGTGAGCCTGTTTTGCAGGAGAAAGAATGCTTTCGGGGAGGTTGCAATCACCGGATAGCCAATCACCAGACAGATGGCTGCCCTCAGCAGCTGTTGAAGCCCAGAAGTCAGATTGCCCAGAGGCTTATCCGGAGTGACCCCTTTGTTTCCCTGAAGCCCCTCCTGCCAAGCCCCTTAGTTCTATAAAACCCCCCTGCTTTCTGTTCTAGGGGAGGTGGATTTGAGCAAACCCAGGCTCCCACCTACTCATTTTGGCCACTTCAAATAAACCTTTCTCATCTCCAAGCAATTTGAATAAACCTTTCTCATCTCCAAACACCGATGTCTCAGTGTTTGGCTTGCTGGGCATCGGGAACACGAATTTGAGATTAAGAGGTTCGGTATAAATCTCATTCGTGTCTCGCTAGTGGGCTGGGAAGTGGCCCGGCAGGAGAGCTTGCCAAGTAGGTACTTTCCGATTGAAAAGCAACTAATAGACACAATTAGATCCTGTCTCTCAGGGAGTTTGAATTTGAACACACATGGGGAGTCAGCGAGAAGTGACAGACACAAAGAAAGACGTGAAGGGCAAGAGGGAGGGAAGTGGAGTCACGAGTGGGAATTTGCCAAGTTAGGGTGGCCTTCCAACCCAGTCTCCCAGAGGTTTGGCCCAGCATCTCTATTACTTCACGGAAGTCTGCTTCCTGCCACCTGGAAGAGACCACCTAACCCGTGCCCCAAGAGCTCCAGAACTGTAGAGGGCCAGGAGTCCCCAGCTGCACAATGCTCATAGCAGAGCATGACTCTTGACACGCCAGAGACCCAAAATAAGGAAGTTTCTCAATAAGGGTGGGTTTCTTCTCAGTTCCCCTAATCTAGTCTGGCCCATGAATAGGTCCTACCCCCTTGTACCCAGTGCCAGGGCCCTGTTAACTTCTATGTCCTTGCAGGTCCCTTTCCAAGGGTTTCCTATCTGCCTGACTGCTCACAAAGCAGCCAGAGCCAGTATTGCCCCTGGTGGGGAGGGGACGGGGGTGGGGGATGCAGACGGCAGGTTAGCAGAAATGGGGAGGGAGAGCCAGAGAGGTGTATCACTTCCTGTGAGAGAGAGGCAGCACGGGGTAGACTTTTCCGACCTGGCTCCCTTGGTTCCCCACATCCAGGCTCCTCTCTCACTGGGGCCCATAACATTCTCCTCCTCTCTAGGATTCCTCATGGGTCAAACTTAGTCCACTCACTCTCTTTGCCCAGAAACAGTTTCAGATTCAACTATATCCACACCTCCTTTAATCCTAACAATGTTTTAGAGATGAGGAAATGAGGCTCAGAGAGAAGTGAGGAGTCCAAGATCCTCAGCATACTTTATAAAAACCCTGCACATGGACCCCTCACCAGCCTCCTTTTTCACAGCTCCCTGCTACCCATTCCCTACCACACCCTTGCCAAATTGATAGACTTGCATTCCCCATAACATGTCCTCTCATCTCCAAGTCTTTGCTTCTGATGTTCCCCTGGCTAGATACCCTTAGGATTCCCTGGTGAATTCTCTGAGTCAACCTTTAAGACTCAAAGTATACCCCATCGTTCCTTGTATACTCCCAGTGAAGCAGGGGCTGCGTCCTAATAGCTTTTGTATCTCCAGGGCCTGGCAAGGTAAGGGACCAAAAAAATATGTGCTCCTTGGCCTCAATGTCACAAAATTATTAGGATCCAGAGGTATGGTCAGCACCTTGGGATCCTGTGGGTGGGATGGCCTCAGGATGAGAATCCTCCTGCTCCGTTCTTGGCTGGGAAGTAGGTGACATCTAGAACCCTTGGGGGCACGAGTGGTCCCCTGGGTTCCAGAATTCACACTGAGTTTATTCACTCACTCAACAATACATAATGGGTCTATTATGCGCTGAACACTGCCAGCTGCTGAGGATCAAAGATAAATGGAGAAATTAGCTGAGAGGATATACTTGAGCTGAAACTTGAAGAACACTCTAAAAATCTATAAAAGAAAAATAACAGAGGTTTTAATCTGTGCTTTCTTCCAGGTGTGTGTGTGTTGGTGGGGGGGAAGGCCCCCCTCCCCACCCCCTGGTAGCGCTGCCACGGCGAAGATTTGCAGGGGATTAGATATATAATCCCCAGGTTGGGTCTCGCCTTCAGGAAGGCATGAGGCCTGAATCCTAACCTGGCCCCACACCTGGCTCCATTGTCCTCCTAATTCCCCAGCATCCGATCCGGGAATTAGCGGTCTGATGGGCAGCTCAGTCGCGATAAAGCCCCGGGGACAGAGCTGGGAGACCCTGACACTATTCTCCCCTGACTCGGGAGACCCCACCTGGATGTCGGTCCCTTATACAAGCAACTGCCCCTAAAGGTCTCAGGCGACATTCTTAGAAGGTGTGACCCCTTTAAAAGGAGGAGACTGGCGGACGCGGACTAGTGACCACGCGCTCGTCACAAATCCCAAACTGAGGTTTTAGCTCCAAGCCGACCTCGCGGTCCCGCCCGGCGCCCTCTTAAGAGCGTGCCTGCCCGGAGCAGCATCGCTGGGTACCGCCCCCAAGGCGCGGGCGCCGATTGGCCAGCGCGGTCGCAGGGCGGGCCAAACCTTAAAGGGTGAGGGAGCTAAGAAAAACCGGAGGCGGCAGTGGCTGCTGCGAAACGCGGGGAGGTGATGCCACGTGGCCCCATTTGGGTTTCTTTTAAATCTCTCTAATGCCCATACCCCAGCCTCAGGCCTATGGAGCCCACGCGAGACTATCCACTCTTCGGGGGCGCCTTCTCCGCCACTCTCCCTCCCGGGGCTATTGACGTAAGGTGAGAAGGCCCAGGCGCCGAAGGAAGCTGACTGGGTGGGCTGCGGGAGAAGACGGGGCCAACCAGGGTCTGCTTCGCCTCTCTCCAGCGACCTCCGACCGGTCCCGGACAATCAAGAAGTTTTCTGCCATCGCGTTACGGACCAGAGCTTGATCGTTGAACTCCTGGAGCTGCAGGCCCAAGTGCGTGGCGAAGCGGCTGCGCGGTGAGGAAGGCGGGCCCGCGGCTGGCCAATGGGAGGGCCGGAGCCGAAGGGGGCGGGGCCTCTGGCAGGAGGGTAGATCAGGGCCATGAGAACTCCAAGGGCAACACCATATCTCCGGAAGTGAGCGAAGCTTAGGATTTACAGATGCTTGTGGGGGGCCGTGAGAGATGCCCCTCCCAGACCCTACCCCCCTCACTCCAGGTACCACTTTGAGGACGTTGGCGGGGTGCAGGAGGCTAGGGCTGTGCAAGTGGAGGCTGTGCAGCCCCTCCTTTTGGAGAACCTGGCCCTGAGGGGCTGCTGTCAAGAAGCCTGGGTCCTCTCTGGCAAGCAGCAGGTAGCTAAAGAAAACCAGCAGGTGAGGGCCGGGGGGGTGTGAGATATCCTGGAGGGGTGCAGCGGGTGGCCCAAGGGGACCAGGTAAGCATCCTGATTCTGATGTCTTTAGGTTGCAAAGGTCGTGACACTGCACCAGGCCTTGCTGCGGCTGCCCCAGTACCAGACTGATCTCCTGCTCACCTTCAATCAGCCCCCGTAAGGAGGACAGGAAGGGCACTTGACTCATGACTTGGGTCCCCAGGAGAATCGGCAGGGAGGGGCAGAGCAGGGAGACTGGCTGGTGGGGACCTCCAAGGAAGCAGGAATGGGCCAGAGGTTTGCGGTTACAGAGAGCCACGTCCTGGGGCCGGCCTCATGGCGTAGTGGTTAAATGTGCGCGCTGCGCTGCTGGCAGCCCGAGTTCGGATCCCAGGCGCACACCGCCCACATGCTTGTCAAGCCATGCTGTGGCGGCGTCCCATATAAAGTAGAGGAAGATGGGCACAGATGTTACCCAGGGCCAGTCCTCCTCAGCAAAAAGAGGAGGATTGGCATGAATGTTAGCTCAGGACTGATCTTCCTCACAAAAAAACAAAACAAAACAAACCAGATACCCAGGTCCTCTGGGGAACAGGAAGTGGGAACTTCCAAATCTGACGCCTTGATGATGTTCTCTTTCCATCTGTTCCCCACCCCCCCACAGCCCTGACAATAGGTCATCTCTTGGCCCTGAAAATCTGTCACCTCCACCCTGGAGCCTAGGTGACTTTGAACAGCTGGTGACCAGTCTGACCCTTCATGATCCCAACATCTTTGGTCCCCAGTAAAGACGCTGAAATGCTACATGATGCTGCTGAAGATCTGGGGACCCCATTCTGCAAGGGGAACAAGGGGTTGGATTTATTCCCCTAATTCCTTCCCTGTGCATAAACATAAGACACCTCCTCTCTGCAGAAATAAACTTGCTTTATAATCAATATAATCTCTGTGCCTTTGAATCTAACAGGACACCTGTGTCCCCCCAATTCCCTTTGGTCTTTAGGGAGAGTTTAAAGTTGTGCATGGGATCAGAAGGGACCCAAGGCCGGCAGTGGAGAAAGGGAGGAAATATACTTTGGAATGACTGGTTCAGCCCTGAGAGAGGGGTTTGAAGTGTACAGAGGGCTGAGTAGGGAAGGTTTAAAGCAACACCCAAGGAAGGGAGGGAAACTCTATCCCTTGTACTGATTCAACCCTGAGAAAACAGATGGGGAGTGCAGTTGGCTGTCCCCTCGGATGGATGGAAGGTTACCTGGTCAGAAGTCACCAGGACACAATAATGAAGGCAGAAGTGTCCAAGGAGTGCTGATTTGGTGGAATGTGGGAGTGGCTGTTATTTGGTGTATGTGTAGTAGAGGGTACGCAGCTGGTCCCAGAAGAAGAGGGAGAGGATGGTGTGGGGGCCAAGGCGGAAGTAGGAGGCACCTATACCCTTGTACATGCCAAAAATGCCCTCTGTCCGAGCTGTCTGCAGCAGAGCGTCCAGAATCCCCCGGTACATGAGGCCCTGACAACAGGTTGGAGAGAGAGGGAGAACACAGGGAAGGAGTTTGTCAGAGCCCATCAGGGGCCTCATCTCTGCAGGCTGCATTTTAGGTTCTCCCTCCTGCACTCACAATCTGCCGCCTCCCCTGCTCTCCCTGCCTGCCGGCACCCCAGGGCACTCCCTTACCTTGCCTTGAGTGTCTGTGGGCTGGTTGTAGAGCCTTGTGCTGGCCACATCAAAGGGGGTCATGGCCAGGACCACTGCAATGCCACTCACCATGGCGGCCGCCAGAGCCACCGTCCAGCTCTGGGGAGGAAATATCTAAGAGGGGAGGGACAAAGAGCTTTGTCAATCAGCCAATCATTCAACCCCTGGGAAAGGACAGGCCCTGTGCTGGGGATACAGTAGAGAGAGCTGGTAACTCGGGGAGCTTCCCCTCCACCAGTTATAACCCAGTGTGATAACATTATGAAGGAGGAAGGGCAGGAGGCCCTGAGGACTCAGAGACACCTTCTGTGGGAAGGGTGTAAAGAGTCAGTGACCCCAAGCCCTCTTGTTGCTCCCTCACATTGAATGTTGCACTGTCCCCTCTAGGGCTCACTTCAGCTTGCCCTCCCTGTGCCCACATTCCCAGAGTGACCCGACCCGTTTCCCAGGCAGTACCTCCCACTGGGTCATGAGGTCCTTGGTGGACGAGAAGGTGCACAGCTGGGTGGAGGAACCGACGATAACTCGGGGCAGGCTTCCCAGGGCCCCACGCCACAAGCCCACCAGACCATGTTTCTGGCCAATCTCGATTAGTGCATGAAACATGCCCTAGTAGGGGGAAGATCATGGGGGCAGGGTTCAGTCACCCCAGCATCAGAGGCTGCCACCTCCTAACACTGCCAAGGATGGGTCCTTAACAGGCACCTGATGTCTAGACAACTGGTTCCGTGTTGGCTTAGAGCCGAATGTAGCCCCTCTGTTGTCTACCACCCCGTTGTTCCCTCCCTCGCCAACCCAGAATAGGGGCAGGGTGTATGGAAGTGAGAACATTAGCAGGTCAGGAGAATGGGGCAGGAGAAACAGGTGCAGAAGACTAGAGAAACTGGAGAAGAAGTGGGGAAGGGAGTGTCAGTGGATTCCAGGGGCAGAGTGGGGCTTAATGATGGGCTGGACAGAGCCGTGGCTGGGTTGGAGCCATTGGGTACAGGCAGAAAGCTGGGGGGCAATGGGAGAGAATGGGCAGGAACTCCAGTGGGGCTGGAAAACCCTCACCTGATGCTTATACTGGTGTCCCACAGCAATTTCTGAGGCTGCCTGTGCCTGTAGGTGTGTCTTCACCTGGGAACGAGAGAGTATCACAGCCTATGGCCCAGTGGCCCTCCTCCCACCTCAGAGACCCAAATGCCTGACCCCCTCACACTTCCTCTGGGGTGTTCCAAATACCCTTTTAATCTGATAATTATTGTTGTTCCCACTTAACAAACTGGTCATGAGACTCTGTGTTCCTTGGCTCCAGTCCCAGGGGATGGATCTCCCAGCACTGCAAGACACCCCACCCTCTCTGCATCTTCCTTCTCTTGGGGGTGAGGGTGCGGGATGGGGAGGTTGGAGAAAGGCAACATTTCCTAAGACTGTTCATGTTAGGCAAGACCTGGGTGTCCAGCCCCTCATGCCAGCTCCCATTCCCAGACCAGACCTCCAGCCACCACCACAACCAGGCTCCCCATCAGACTCTGGGGCAAGTTGTGAGGGGTCATCTGCAAAACTTGCTCTCTGGCCCCCAAGCCCCATGGGGTCACGTGTCCAGCTGACTTCGGAGAGGCCACTGTCCCTGAATCTTATACCCTGGGAGTGAGACCAGACTGCCTCTCCTTCCATAGAACTCACTGCTTCCCAGTGTTCTTCCAGGAGGAACACTAAGCAAGGCCTAGTCCTAGCAATAAGCAGCTGTGAGACCTTGATCTGGTCACTTCCCCTCTCTGGGCCTCAGGCTACTGACCCTTCACCTGTACCAGAAAACTCAAAGAGGCAGGCTGTGAGATTGTAATTCTGTGATGATGAGGACCTTCCCCCTAACCCTACACTCACTGATGTATATTACTCAAATTCCTCATCCTTCCCTACATGAACCCACTTCCAACCTCAGTATCAGGTTGTGAAGGCCCAGGCCCCCACCCTACACCAAAGGTCTGCCCTGAAGGCCCCAGGCAAGACCTTTCTTCTCACCATGTAGATGGGGCTCCCCAAGTAGGCTCCCGAGACCCCAGCCAGGGCCCCAGCTGCTGCGCTTCGGACAGGGCTGAGGGTGCCTTCAGCTGTGTGCAGGTAGCCCCCAGCCTCAGCCAGCCCGTAGGTGCCCAGCCGGATGCCATTCATCAGGAACTGGTATAAGAGGGCAGGGGCCAGGCCCTTCTGCAGGGCAGCCAGGCCATCCACCTTGCTGATGGTAATGAAGGCATGGAAGACGTTTCGGTAGTGCCGCTGGTAGGTTCCAGGAGCCTGCAGTTCTCCCTGCAACTGCATCCTGGTCTTCACCACCTCCAGGGGGTTGGTAAACAAACAGGCCCCGCAGGCTGCCAGGCCACTCATCAAGAAGTCCATGGTGGTGTAGTGGTAGCAGGAACTGGCCCAGGAGTACGAAAGTCAAAAGGAGCTTCAGAAACGGGGTCAGAAATTAGGGGAAGACCTCAGTTTCAGCAGTCCAGGCTTCAGGAGGTAGGGATTTAGAGGTCTAGAGTCAAGAGTGTCAGGGTCAAATGTCAAGAGGCGAAGGGTTAGCTGGACTTTGGGAGACAGAGCTGGCAAAGAGAGAAGAAAGGAGTTTAGGAGAGTCTGGCGAGAAGGTTATGACACAGGGCCCTGTTGGTCAAGGGATTCGAGGTCTAGGAGCAGCAGAAGTCAGGAGGACGGCAGGTAGGATGCTGAGGATGGCTGGCTAGGGGGGCCCGGGAGTAGGGGAGGGAAACGCGGAGTTGGGAGATGGGAGCCAGGGAGGAAGGAAAAAGAAAACAAGCAGGTTAAGGAGAAAAGGATCCGGGAGAAGATCCAGTGGCGTCTCCGGGACTGCAACGAGATCTGGATTGGGGAAGGACGTCGGGAATCCCTCCAGGGACAAGCGTCCCCAGGCAGCTGTCGGAGCTCGCAGCAGCTTCGCTGGGGCAGCGCCGGACCGCCACACTCCAGTCACTGGAGCGCGGCGCCCAATGGGGAGCCGTGGAGAGCCATAGCCGAGAGCCTCGGCCAATCAGCGCCAAGCCGGCTCCGCGGCCAATGGGAGGAGCTCTCGGCGACCCGGCCCCCGGAATCTGCGCCGAGGCGGTTGGAATTAACTCTCCGCGTCCCGGCTCCAGGGCAGGGGCCTTGGACTCGGTGCTCTGGGAGAGGGGCCCGGGGAGCTGAAGCTTTATCCCTGGCGGGGAGGGGAGGTGAGAGCCTGGATTACTGGACGGGCGCAGGGGCCGAGCGTGGAGGCAGCAGTCCCCCATTGGGGTGTCTGGGGCTGCACCTCTTGCGGGCGGAGGGCTCCCCTCCTTTGCCTTCTGTCCCGGGTCATTGCTGGCCGGGGTTGCCAAACTGTAGACCCACACCCCGCTCGGTTCAGGCGCCCGGGGAGCCTGGAAGCTGCGGCTCCGCCCGCGGGGTGCGAATGGGTCACACCTGCTGGACGGGAGCGAGCTCCTGAGGCGGAGAACAGCTTTTGCAGGTTCTAGTGCCGGGGTGCGGCTGGCTGTGGGCGCGGAGGGAGGGAGGCCTGAGGGATGGCCAGGGGGCGTAGTCACATCCCTAGGCTCTTTTGATCCGCACAGTAACCCAGAGGAGAAGGCCCGACAGGCCCAGACAGGGATTTTGATCCCTGGGTTTAGGTTACACAGGATTAGCAAGTGAGGGGCGAGATCGTGCGATTCGGGACTCCTGTCCTTGCTCGTGAGTCTGGTAATGGTTAATCACGGAAGAACTTCTGAGAAAAGAGACTGGGGAATCTAGTTTGGAAGGGGTTGAGGGAGTAGGCTTGGAGAAAGAAGGCGAGAGGATAGAGGATGGCATCTGGGGAGGGAGGAGGCAGAGGGCTCACCTGTGTGTGAGGCAGCCACCAGACTTAGACTCAGTGCCTTTTGATTTCCGGTTTGGGTCTTGATGCTTACCAGCCGGATAGCCTTGGGCAAGTTATTTAACATCTCAGAGCCTCCTTTGTAAAATGAGAATGATAATTATTGCACATACCTGAGTGAAAGTGTTGGACTTGTACTAGGTGCTCAATTATCAGGTTTCCAGAAAAGTCAAGAGCTGTCAGACCCCTGTGCCCTTATGTGTCCTGTTCCCACGGCCGGGAATGTCTTTGCCCCCTTCTTTTGGTGATCTCCAAATCGTTCTTCACCTTGAGCTTCCTGTCTCCTGACTCTTGAAGCTTTTTCAAATACTCCATAGTCAGCCACTTCCATCCTGCTTTGCTCCTCAAACATTTACCCACGTTTCTCATTTCTGTTAGCAATTATTTACTCTCTGACTCCTTCACCACACCTGTTAGCAATTATTTACTCTCTGACTCCTTCACCACACCGGGAGATCTTGGATGCCCCAGGGGCGGGGTCTGGGTCAATTCTCCCTCACCAGTGAGTGTACTGAGTCGTTGAGCCTTAGGATGAGGCAGGAGAGGTGGAAGGTAAAGTAGAGCAGATAATGGGGTCTCTCAGGACGGGCTCTGAAAGGGACCCGCCAAAATTTCCCAGGAATGCTGCCCAAATGCCTCCACCTGCTGGATGGGATGAGAGTTCATCATTGTTTTAATCCTTGAGTTTACACCAGTGGTCCTCAAAGTGTGGTCGCTGGAGCAATAGCAGCAGCACCTGGGGACTTCCTAGAAATGCAAATTCTCTAGTCCCACCCCAGACCTCCTGCACCAGGAAACTCTGGAGGTGGGAAACTCTGGAGGTGGGGCCTGACAATCGGTTTCAACAAGCCCTCTAGGTTATTCTGATGTGTGCTCAAGTTTTAGGCCCTCTAGGTTATTCTGATATGTGCTCAAGTTTTAGAACCGCTGGCTTAAGTCTTTTATCTTTAATATCCAGGTGCTCTAGAGATAAACAACTTTTAAAGTGTTATTTTTTGAAAATAAGCTTAATTTTTAGAACAGTTTTAGATTTACAGAAAAATTGTAAAGACACTATGAGAGTTCTCATATACTCCACATCCTGTTTCCCTTATTATTAACATCTTATATTGATATGATATATCATTACAATTAATGGACCAATATTGATACATTATTATTAACTAAAGTCCATATTTTATTCAGATTTTCTTCCTTTTTGCTTAAAGTTATTTTTCTGTTCCAGGATTCCATCCAGGATACCACATTACATTTAATTGTCATTAGGCTCTTCTTAGCCATGACAGTTTCTCAGAGTTTCCTTGTTTTTGATGACCTTGACAGTTTTGAGGAGTATTGGTCAGGTATTTTTAGATTGTTCCTCTACTGGAGTTTTTTTTCTCATGATTGGACCGAAGTTACAGTTTTTTGGAGGAAGACCACAGAAATAACTGCCATTCATCACATCATTTCAAGGGTGCTACTTGATACATACTAGAAAAATGACTTATCACTGTTGATGTTGAAGGGAGAGGAAGAGTATCCTCTACCACTCTGGGTCCTTCCTGGCTGGGCTACAAATTAAATTGACTTGAGACCAAATAGCAGGAGAAAAATCAAAGTTTAATAACATGTATACATGGGAGAAACTCAGAAGATAGAAATTGAGCAACTCGTCATTCTGACTAAGCTGTTATTCAGCTAAAGGCGAGGAGGGTGTTGGGGGAGTAGTGGTTTGGGATTTCAGAGGGGAAGAAGACAATTCACATGGAGATGGAAATGCAAATGTCTATCAGATGACTCTTTACAGGGCCACCCTATAGAGAATGTGGCTGGAGAGACAGAATTTTTGATAAGATGCGCTTGTTGGTGCCTTTCTTATTGCATCTATTTTACATTATGCTACAGCCATCATATGGTAGTGGCTCCTTCTTGTAACAGGCCTTCTATGTTAAATTCTTTAGGCAGTTAGTGGGGGAGGTCAAATGTCCATCAGAGAAAATAATCAAGGTAAAGAGACATATTTTGAGGTGGCCAATTTTGATCTTCCATAATGTTGACCTGATCACCTGGCTGAGGCAATGTTTGCCAGCCTTCCCCATTGTAAAGTTAGTCTATTTTCCTCCTTTCCATACTATACTCTTTGGAAGGAAATCACTGTGCACAACCTACATTTAAGAAGTGGAGAGTTAGGCTCCACCTCCTTGAGGGAGAAGATCTACATAAATTATTTGGGATTCTACATGGGAGATTTGTCTCTCTTATTTATTTATTTACTTATTTATGTATGTATTTATTTATTCATTCCTTTATTTATTCATTCAACCATTTATTTCTATCAGTATGGACTGATGGATATTTATTTTATACTTTGGATTATAATCTAATATACTTTATTTTGTTGCTCAAATTGTTCTAGCTTTGTCCTTTGGGAGCTCTTTTACTTGGCTCCTGTGTTTCTTTGACATACTCCCATCATTGTATTTTGTTTTGTTTTGTTTTGTGTTTTTGGACACTTCCTTACTTTTTCATCCAACTAGATGCTTGTATATTCCCTGCCCTCTTCTTAGCAACCACTATTTGGCCAAGGATCCTTGGTTCCTTTTATTGAAGAATGGTATTAGAAATCAAAATCTGGAGACTAGGCATGCTTGTTGCCATTGGAGTGCCATTGCCTCTAGACCCTCTCAACGGAGAAAGCAAGTAAATGTATGTGTGTATAGTAGCCCATGTATGTACACATATCTATAGATGTTTCTATATGTAACCATCTGTATCTATATTAATTAAACATGAGTTCATACTGATGTTTCCAACTCTAATCCATTACTATATGGATCATTCTAGCCACCTCTCTGTGCTCATCTGTAAACTCTCACTCCAACAGTGAGAAACCTGGCCCCTACTATCTGCCGTCCGTTTACTTAATTGTTCAATCCTAGTATACATGTGTAGGATTATCAGAATTGTTAACCCATAACCCCATGGGAAACCACCTTATCAGCTAGAGTACAGTGCATCTGTGCAGTTCCTTTCGCCTTTAGTCTTAGAGACTCCACTCATTTCCTAAGTTACTTAGGTCAGCACCTTCCCTCTCCCTTCCTTTAGTAAAGTTATTTCATACATTTGTAAAACAGTTAGATTTAGTCACATTCTGCATTCCGTCCTGGGATACCCTGATCTCCTACCTGATTTTTTAAAACTTGCATATGTTAAAGTTCACTCTTTGTGCTATAAAGTTCTAAGGGTTTTGACAAATGCGTTATAGTATGAAGGGGTAAGAAGAGTATCCTCTACAACTCTGGGTCCTTTCTGGCTGGGTTACAAATTAAATTGACATGAGACTGAATAGCAGGAGAAAATCAAAGTTTAATAACATGTATATGGGAGAAACCAGGGAAACTGGTTTCTCTACAAATGGTGGTGGTTTTCACCTTAAATAGCATATTCAGGTAGACAAAGGAGGATGTTGGGGGTGGGGAGGAAGACAGCCATGGGAGATTACCAGAAAGCACAGAGATCAAGAATATGCAGGGACCAGCCCCGTGGAGTAGCAGTTAGGCGCGCGCGCTCTGCTGCTGGTGGCCCAGGTTTGGATCGCAGGTGCGCACCGATACACCGCTTGTCAGGCCATGCTGTGGCAGCGTCCCACATAAAGTGGAGTAAGATCGGCACAGATGTTAGCTCAGGGCCAGTCTTCCTCAGCAAAAAGAGGAGGATTGGCATGGATGTTAGCTCAGGGCTGATCTTCCTCACAAAAAAAAAAAACAGAGTATGCAGATTTAAGTCCTCTCCTTCCGTACTGATAAGAGTTTCCAGAGATAAGGTCATACCCCCCCCCCCAGTAGAAAGAGGGAGATATCTTTACAAATGGACATTTCTCTTACAAATGTAAATGTTTGGTAAACAGAACTTTGATAAGAATGGGCTTAGTGGGGACCCTGCCAGTCTATCCATACCCAGAGTTAAATTCCTTTAGGCAGTTAGTGGAGGAGGTCAAATGTCCATCAGAGAAAATAATCAAAGTAAAGAGACATATTTTGAGGTGGCCAATTTTGATCTCCCACAAGTATTATACAGAATAGTCTTACCACCCTAAAAAAATCCCCTGTATTTCACCTCTTCAACCCTCTTTGGCAATCACTGATCTTTCTACTATCTCTATATTTTTGCCTTTTCCAGAATATCATATAGTTGGAATCATAAGGTATGTAGCCATTTCAGATTGGCTTCTTTGACTTAGCAATATGCATTTAAGGTTCATCCATGTCTTTTGTGACTTGATAGCTCATTTCTTTTTATCAGTGAATAATATTTAATGGATGTACCACAGTTTGTTTATCCATTCATATATTGAAGGACATCTTAGTTGCTTCCAGTTTTTGGTGATGATGAACAAAACTGCTGTAAGTATTTGTGTGTAGGTTTTTATGTACACATCAGCTTTTAAATCAGTTACTACCTAGGAGTATGATTGCTGGATTGAATGGTAAGACCACGTTTAGCTTTGTAAGAAATGCCAAACTGTCTTCCAAAGTGGCTGTACCATTTTGCATTCCCACCAGCAATGGATGAGAGTTGTTCTGCATCCTTATCAGCGTTTGGTTGTGTCAGTGTTTTTGGATTTTAGCCATTCTAATAGGTGTGTAGTGGTATCTCTTGTTTTAATTTGCAATTCCCTAATGACAAACGATATTAAGTATATTTCATATGCTTTTTGCCATCTCTATATCTTCCTTTTTTTCCCAGCTTTATTGAGATGTTGTTGACATATAACATATGTAAGTTTAAGCTGTACAACTTGATGATTTGATACATGTATATATTGTGAAATGATTACCACAATAAGGTTAGCACCTCCATCCCCTCACGTCATTACCTTTTGTGTGTGTGTGTGTGGTGACTTTTTTTTTCCTTTTTTTTTTTTGTGAGGAAGATCAGCTCTGAGCTAACATCCAATGCCAATCCTCCTCTTTTCTTTTTCTTTTTTTTTGCTGAGGAAGATTGGCCCTGAGCTAACATCTGTGCCCATCTGCCTCTACTTTATATGGGACGCTGCCACCACATGGCTTGACAAGTGGTGCATTGG